AGAAAGGATGGATATTTTTTTTCACTCTCAAAATGAAATTAACGTGGGTTTTTCTTGATCTTTGATATATGTAATTTGATCTTCCTGGATTTTCTTATTTTTGCTTTCTGAATCTCAAGAAATACAGAAATCAGCATGATACAAAGTTCTTCAATTTTTTTCCCACTATTATCCGAGCTTAGTTTTCCTGCCACATATGAAGAGTAACTATGAGAAGTTCACTTAGAGTATGCTTTAGCATCTTCAAAAACTAATTGCATGTTTTGGATATTCCAATTTATGTGAAATTGCTGCCATAATGTTTGATTTTCTATTCTTAATCTCTCTCTAAGTGTGGGTGTCTAGCACATTCTTGTGTTTTTTAGCACCTAGCTGCAAATATTTGAAAGTCCCTAGTGGTTTTTATTGACTTCCTACATATATTAGAAGCAGTAATGTTGTCAATAGAAAGAACATATTCATCTTATGAGTGGGTACATCACATAACCAATTATTATTTAGCTTCTATGACACTATGTCACTATCCATTATTACCTTCTTCTTCTTCTTGGGTACACATGCTTTTGTTAAAATGTAATGGTGCAGCCACTGACTTTGTTTTCATACTTTTACCTAAGATTGCTTAAGGGTCGCAGTATTCCGGGTAAAATCTTACTGACTAGGAGATCAGATCCACCAGATGACTCAGGGTTTCAAGGCTCTCCAAATTATCAAAGAAGTTTGTCACAAAACGATGCTGGTACAATTGATGACATGGACAAATCAACAGAGGTAGTGATTGATTGCAATCCATATCCATTTTGTCTTCTTTTTTTTTTTTTCCCCTCTATCACTAGTATAAGTGCTATAGTTCTTATACAATAACAATCCGGTAAATGTATTTTTTATATGAAACAGGTTGAAGCTGGAAATACAAGCAGCTCAAATAATAAAGCAACTGTTAATAAGCTAAGATCTTCTACCTCTAATGTTGAGAATAGTTCCAAAGAAGTTCAAAAGCCCACCATGGGTGCAAGAGCTACAGATTCTGCAAGGGTTATGAAGTTCACAAAGGAGCTTTCAGGACAGATGATCATATTAGGTATCTATCTACATACATCATTGTATTTTTACTGATTAATTTATTTATTGGTGGTAGTTTGGTGATGAAATGATGTAAGTGGGATGCCATTTCTTCTCCTGAATTCTGATATGCAGTTTACTCTCACTATAGCTTTTTTATTCTCTTTTTCTTTTTTATGTGCTTCCTCATAATAGTAGTTTGTGTTAGCAAAAAAAATATTCATGTAGCAAAAATAGTGCTCATTTCCCTATAATGATAGACAAGCTGGTGCTATTTCTTACTTCTTTTCCTTTAGTTGAGGTCTTGATGAATGATTGTGCATATAGTTTCATAATCTCTTTGTGAATTGGATTGTGTTTTATCTTTTACTTGCCTTTCCCTGTACAGAAAGATTGCGTGAATTAGCTTGGAGTGGTGTTCCACATTATATGCGCCCTGATGTCTGGAGGCTTCTCTTGGTATGCTTGATTCTCTTGTACAAGCTAGGAGTATCAGGACAACTGAAATTCCTTATTAATGCAATATGACCTTTCTCACATCTTGGAAGCTGAATTATATTAAATGTTTAATTAGACTTAAGCACTATCATAGAGATTAAGTAGCAATTAGCATATCTGATTGATGGGGATTTACTGGTTTGACTTGTAATAATATTGTTGTTCTTTGTTAAAATATGATTTTGTTGCGTATATGAATTTTAAGTATGAACTGACAACAGGGATATGCACCACCTAATTCAGATAGAAGGGAGGGAGTTCTTAGGAGAAAGCGACTTGAGTATCTTGACTGTGTTGCTCAGTTTTATGACATTCCAGACACTGAACGTACCGATGATGAGATCAATATGCTTCGCCAGGTGCTTTTACTGCTTGCAATTTACAAAATTGCTATCTCAGTCAGTCATCACAATTTTGCCTGATAGTTGACATTAATGTTGATTGTTTTGTTAGATTGCTGTTGATTGCCCTAGAACTGTACCAGATGTCTCTTTCTTTCAGCAAGCACAAGTTCAAAAATCTTTGGAACGCATCCTTTATGCATGGTAAGCTGCCAATCTCTGTTGAATTCAAATTTTTTGATGGATTTCTGATAATTTAAAATGTTTTCATTCAAAGGAAAATTAAGCAATTAATGGGCCTTTGCTAAGATAATGAAACTGAATAAAAGGAGTCTTGCCCTGTCTTTTAAAAGGTAGACCAAGAGGTCCTATACCTAATAATTTTGAAAATAACTCTTTCATCATCTTCATTAGGAATAGGCTTTTGAACTGCCATTTAATGTTGCCATATAGGTAACAGGTTATGAAAGAAGCCGAAATCCAAAAATTTGATTACGTAACAATTATTTCATAGAATTACTACCAAAAAAAAAGTTATTTTGTAGAATACTGAAACTGTTACTCTTAACCCCCAAATTAAACTACAGTTCAACTGCTCAAGTCGTTGTACCTATCTCTGTAGCAGTGCTTTTAGTTGTTTTTCTTTCTCTTTTTTTTTTTTTTTTTGCCTTTTTTCTGTTAATATCCTTACCATGTGGTCATTATCTTTGTTCGCCCATTTGTACTTCCAATTTTACCACAGAGTAATGCTGGTCAGACTGCAAAAAATGGTCTTACTGGTATAGTAAATGATTTTCTAATTAATATTTTGTCACATTTTGTGTGTCACCATTTGTTTCAGGGCTATTCGACATCCTGCAAGTGGATATGTCCAGGGGATAAATGATCTTGTGACACCCTTTCTAGTTGTTTTTTTGTCAGAGTACTTAGAAGGGAGCGTAGACAGTTGGTCAATTGATAACCTATCAACAGAGCAAGTATCCAATGTTGAAGCTGATTGCTATTGGTGCTTGTCACAACTGCTTGATGGAATGCAAGACCATTACACATTTGCTCAACCTGGAATTCAGAGACTTGTGTTTAAGCTAAAGGAATTGGTCAGGCGTATTGATGGTAAGCTCTGCTCCATTGTAGTTTGCAGCTCCTCAAATTAAAATTGTACCTTTTCTTCTTGAGGTAGACTGATTTTTGGTTTTAGAAGAAACTTAAGGATGCTTTTGACTGTGCATTGCTGGACTTGAGACTGTAAATTATGATTGTATGATTCTGAGATTACAATATATCAAGTGTTTAGATGTGTAATTCTTTGTTTATTTATTTATTTGTTATTTACTTGAAGTATATATTTGGAAGGAGTTTTGTTGTCTTATTAACCAATCTGTTCCATTAATTTGTACCAGAACCTGTTTCAAGGCATATGGAGGAGCAGGGGCTTGAATTTCTTCAATTTGCTTTTCGATGGTTCAACTGTCTTCTGATACGAGAGGTTTAGCTTTAATGTCCACATACATTTATCTAAATTCCCTCTTGCAGTTAAAGTTCTCATATTTGGTGGTCAAAATGGCGCAAACTTAGTTGTAATATTTGTTGCTTAAGTTGCAATATCTTCTTGAGAAGTAAAACACCAGACACCAGTGTTTATTAAAGGAAGAGCTAATTGCATGTTTTATTTTATCAGATCCCTTTTCATCTTGTTACCCGTCTATGGGACACATATCTGGCAGAAGGTGATGCATTGCCTGATTTCCTTGTGTACATATTTGCCAGTTTCCTTTTAACGGTGAGAGTTGCCCTTACTTTTCTTTTAAAAATTCTTTCTTATGGTGTAGAATTTTTGAAGTTTCCATGTAAGTTGACTTCAGAAAGAAGCCAATTCTACATATAATTCATCATCTTGATAAATCTTTGAACATCCAACTGAGATGAATTTTCCTTTTCATGTTTACTCAGTGGTCAGAGAAACTTCAGAAACTAGATTTTCAGGAATTGGTGATGTTCCTTCAACACCTTCCAACTTTTAACTGGACACATCAAGAACTAGAAATGGTGCTATCAAGAGCATTCATGTGGCACAGTATGTTCAAGAGCTCTCCTAGCCA